ACAGTCTCTGTCCATCTGGTAGATTTGAGGTTATCTGGTTCACTACAAATGTTTGATTAAATGTGCAACAAACAACAACGTGTTTGTTCTTTGGAGTCTTTAAAGTTCAGTCTAGCTCTGGAAACATGACGACTTAAAGTTTTAGCTCGTCTTAATTACGTTTAATTTAGAGTCGTTTAAGTTTCATTGATTAAATGCAGGTTTTCCTTCTGGGGGCCCGGAGATTGTCCAAGGGCCATTTTTGGTTCATGCTTGTGTCACCATGAGAACTAATCTGCAGCACTGAGGATAAACTTACATAATTCATTCAGACGAAGTCCGTTTTTCATTTTAGCTGTTATCAGCCGACACAGATTTAAAGGCCTAGCATTCACTGAAGGAATGCACGTCTTTCATGTCAGTTTTAGATCGTTGAGAAATGACATCTGTAGCTGTTTCGGTCAAACTTTGTAGACGAGATTATCCATAATCTGATGCGAGTTGTGTTATCGAACTACCACACCAAACTTTAGCTCGGTGGGTGTAACGCTGACTAAGTTGTAGCTGTTTTTATGCAGCCGATGCAGACGTCCTTTGTGAGCGGTCGATTCGGACATTCCGAAATGTAGCTGAAGTGAAAGAGCAAGCCTACATTAGCTGACGAAAGCAGAAAGACACATATTTGCTGAATTTGGTTTAAATAAGCAGAAATCAGCTAAAAAAAGGGCTGAAATTAGCAACAAAAAAGTAGCTGAAAAGGCATAAAGAAGCTTAACCTACCAGAAGGAAGTGGAAAGAGCTGAAATGAGCTCCAAAAAATGTGGAATTAGCTGAAAAAGCTAAAATCTGCATAAAACGGCTAAATAGAAGCTGAAATATAGATACTGGTGAAACTAGTAGAAATCAGCTGAAAGGAGCATAATAAGCTGACATTAGCAGAAATAAGTTAATTATGCTTGAAGTAGCAGAAATTACCAAGAAAAACTTTTATTTGATCTGAAAACAGCTGGAATTAGCTAAAAAGCTAGCTGAAAAGGTAGAACAAGCTTAAATTAGCAGAAGAAAGCAGAAAGAACATGCTTGTTGAAAGAAGCAGAAAATTATTTGAAAAGAGCTGAAATTATATTAAAAAACATTCAGAAAAGTAGCTAAAAAATCAGAATGAAGCTTAAATTACCAGAAGGAAGTGGAGAGAGCACATTTTTGCTGAATTAGGCTGAATAAAGTTTTTAAACGAGTGCCAAAAATGTGGAATTAGCTGTAAAAGCTTAAATTAGCATAAAAACAGCTAAATAGTAGCTGAAATAGCAGAAAAAAATGAAACCTGCAGAAACAAGCTGAAAGGAACATAAGCTGAAATTAGCAGAAAGAAGTTAGAAGAAGCACAAAAATGTTGTAGTTGGCAGAAAGAAACTGAAAGGAGCACAAAACAGCTGAAAGTAGCTGAAAAAAGTTTACATTTGCAAAAGGAAGCTGAAAGAAGCCGAAGCAGAACAAAATGTGAAAGGAGCAGTAAAAGGTTGTGAACAGATCTGAAGGAGGTAAAATGAGCTCAGTTCATTTTCTACGAGGACAAAATGTCAGAAGAGGCTAAATATTTAAAAAAAAAGCTAAAGTTGCACAAATGCCTAAAGTCATAGGAGTATGTCCTGAAAGAGCCGAACGTTTTGATTCATGATTTGTTGAAATAGTTTGAAAACCGCGGGGCGAGAATCGTGCTGAAAAACGTACAGAAGAAAAATGGATGACAACAGAGTGAAGGCTTCAGTCTTTAGCTGCCGCAGCTCCGTGCCTTTGATCAACTTTTAACAAGTTCAGCGTGTCGTAAACAAACTCTGCGGCTCAGACGCAACAAACGCTGCACAATCAGTTTCTGCTGCTACGACAACACGACCACGGGGATCACATCCGTGCAGCACCACGCTCCGTGTACTGACAGGTTTCTTTTGTCCTCTAGGGTCTTTGGTGGGTGTCGGTGATGTCATCTCCCAACAGCTGATGGAGAGGAGAGGATTAGCTCATCACAACGTGCGGCGGACAGCCAGGATGATGACTGTAGGGTTCTTCTTCGTGGTAAATTCTGATTTTTCAACTTGCTGCCGTAGAAGCACTCATTCTGAACACGGAAGCTGCAGATTGGAGCGAAAACGTGTTTTTTAATTGGATCAGAAGACAAAGTTTTAATAATTGCAGGCTGAAGTGAGATTAACAGGAAGTGGCGTCTCACTGGGGGTCGGCTTTTACACAACGGTCTCTAGACCAGGGGTCTGCAGCCTTTACGATCAAAAGAGCCGTTTCTGCCCCTTTGTTCACTAAACGAATCGTGTGCGGAGCCACAACACCTGCTGCAGCTGGGATTCTCACCTGGTGGCCCGGACCGCTTCAGGTTTGTTGGAGGGCGCTTTTCTGGACAGTAGGGGGGATTTTATAAAACTAAAAATATCTAATTATTTTTAACACATAGTGATATTTTTACACTCCAAGACAAAATAAAAGACGAGATTTTTGTAAAGAAGGAAAAAATAATATAGTTTTTGCCCAGTTTGTAAAAACTAAAACAATAAACTGAATTCTTATGGGTTTTTTTTTTTAAATGTAGAAAAATTACGTATCCTTGAAGAAATGAAGCGTAAAGTATGTTTTACTCCTTGTAATGTTTCTAATGTTCATATATTTGCAAAATAAATGACAACAGCTAAAACTAGCCCTTTCAGTTGTTGTAACAACCAATAAAATTCAGTTTTGTGTTAGTTTGGGTCGAAACTTGAAAGAGCTGCATGCGGCTCCAGAGGCACGCAGACATTTTACGTTTGTGCGACAGTTTTTATTCTCAAACAGTCCCATGGTCTTCGTAGACATCTTGTACAGGTCTGGTTTTTGTCTGAGGCCGTCTCCAGCCTGTGACACCCACGCAGGCGATAGAAAACCTGTCCGGGCTTAAAAACCGCGCTGACTAATGATCATTAAAAACCGCTCCAAACCTAAGGCAGGGCCCGGGGTGCACAGTGTTCAAGTCATGCACACGCAAATACACGGTGGTTATTACAAATCACATAAGACCTAAAACTAAAACGTCCTGGTTAAAGCGATAAAAACAGGGATTCTTGGAAATGTTTAAAGATGTTTTCTTTTGGGGTGTGCTTTAATGGATCGGGGCTGATTACCTCCACGCTGCGTGCGCGTTGTAGTTCGTCGCACATGTCGGTCACAGGTCAGCCGTCTGAGCAGTGGTTCTGCAGAGGAGAACCTGGACCCGAACGCTCGGAGCTCAGGTCGTCTGCAGCACAAAGTTTCAGTTTTGAGTCTCCGAGAAGCCAGAGAGCCAAGAGACATTCTACTTGAATGTTCTTGACGTGTTTTACGTCCGAGTCCAGATTTATTCACGAATGTAATTTGTTTTGTTTTTGTCCCACAAAGGGTCCGGTAGTCGGCAGCTGGTACAAAGTTTTAGACAGGTTGGTGGTGGGAGGAAGTAAAAGTGCCGCCATGAAGAAAATGTTGGTTGACCAGGTGAGACAAACGTCTAGAGCCTGTTCATGTTCTGTTCTTATTTTGTTTTTCTCTTGCTCTTCTTCTTTTGTCTTCATCTTCTTCTTCCTCAGCTTGAGCCACTCTTCAGTTTTCAGGTTGTCCTTGTTTAAACAGGAAGTGATTTTATAGTTTGACCACTTAAACGGTGAATCACCGGCCAAAGCAGCACATTTACCGTACGGTGTTTTTCTGACTATAAGTGAGCCTGTTAATCTGGTCGTGCTCACTCCCAAGTATTCAACAGAATGTAGTTTTTTTTAGTCAAATTAGTATTTTTTTTGCATTTGAGCTGTAATTGTTTTGAGAAAACTTTGTATTACAACTAGGCCTGTCACGATAACAAATTTAGCTGGGCGATTAATTGTCTCAAATTATTGCAATAAACGATAATATTGTTTGAAATTTGACAATAGTTAGTCATTAATGTCAAATTTAAGAATAAATTTTGGTTATTTTTTGTGTTGTGCCTTTTTTCGACCACCAGATGGCAGCATAAGGCTGTTTGAACAAAGGATGGATAGTGAGGGAGCGAGCAGCGTGCATCTTTAAGACAAATGGGAGGGAGGTCTCTTGACGTGACACGGGCTGTCTCGCTTTATTCGGTTCTCAAAATGGCGGACGCTCGGTGTAGTTTGAGCTCTTTAGCGTAGCATTTTTCACATAAAGCTTTTAATTTAAAAAATCAGTAAACAAGTTCTCCGCTTCTTTTTGCAGAGAAAAACAACTTTTTACACGAAGGCACGAGTTTCAACCGTGAATTTTGGAGCTTCGACAAGATGTTAGCTTAGCTCGTAGCTTAGCTTTTAGCTGCGTTTAACGATCCGAAAACGCAATTTTGGATCGTTAAAATGGATTTTAAAGAGAAAGGGAGGAGTCGGTGAAGAGACCGGAGTTGAGCCTTTTTTCATCCAGTGTCTTCAGTAGAGAGAGACACGAAGAAACGATAAAACCAATAAATGAAAATGAGGTTGATAATTTTCATTTATCATCCGATTCGTTGATTTATTGTTTATCGCGACAGGCCTACTTACAAACAGTATATTTTTCTTCTCAGATGAGTTTTAAACTTTTAATTTGTAGTTTGAGCTGGATTATGACTTAAAAGATTGTTAATCTAATCAATTTAATAAACTATCAAACGTAGATATTTTAGCTTATGTTGTAATAACATTTAAGAGTGATTTTATTTTCAGCTGATTTTGGATTTGGGTTTAATTTGTAGATTATATATTTTTTTTTATTTTTATCTTTTAAGAAAGTGGCAGTTGATATAAAACTTTACTTTTCTTCCTGCTCCTTTTCACTCTTGTATGTAATTACTTAGAGTTTTGTCTGTGGAGTTAAACAATATTTGTTTAACTGAAAAAAAATCAAATAAATGATATAAAATATTCCAACTCTGTTGTTGACAACGACAAACAAACAAAAAAAACAACGTAGAGTTTCATTAAAAGTTTTAAATTCAGTGATTCAAACAGGCTGGAGGTCGTTCACAACATAATTAATAAATGAATAAATCGGCAGGAAGTAGAAACTGTTTTTATTTCCTCTCCAGCTGTGTTTCGCTCCGTGCTTCCTGGGAGCCTTCCTGAGTATTTCTGGCGCTCTGAACGGGCTGACGGTGGAGGAGAACGTCACCAAGCTGAAGAGGGTGAGAGCCTCTTTAAATCAAACTTACCCAAGTTAAACTACCGGACGGGTCAAGATTCTCACCCTCACCTCTGTGCGTACTTTGGTTCTTTTTAAACTGGGATTATAATCTGTGAAACAAAAAACATTTCTTACATTTTCAGAAGAAATTACAAATTAGGGTTAGTGTGAATGCTTATTGCTGAAGAACTGCATAAAGTAGCTAAATACATGCTAAAATGTAGCTGAAAGGAAAATACAAGCCGAAGATAGCAGAGGAAAGCATGAAGTACTCTTACGTGCCGAATTACTGGTATATTTACTGTAAATAAGCAGAAATTAGCAAAATAAATTGGGAAATTAGTTAAAAAAGCTGAAAGTAGCAAAAATAATAGCTGAAAAGTAGCTGAAAAGAAGCTTAAACTACCAGAAGGAAGTGAAAGGAACTGAAATGAGCTAAAACAAATGTGAAATTAGCTTAAAAAGCTAAATTTAGCACGAGCAGCCAAATAGCAGCTGAATTAGCAGAAAAAGCTGAAACTAGCAGAAATAAGTCGAAAGGAAAATAACAAGCTGAAATTAGCAGAAAGAAGTTTAGTAGCCAAAATTACCATGACAAACTTGAAAGCAGCTGAAATTAGCAAAAAAAACAGCTGAAAAGGAGCTAAAAAAGCAAAAAGAAGCTGAAATTACCAGAAGGAAGTGGAGAGAGCACATTTTTGCTGAATTAGGCTGAAAAAAGTTTAAATGAGTGCAAAAATATGGACTTAGCGGAAATCTTAAATTAGTATTAAAACCAACTATATAGTAGCTGAAAAGCTGAAACTAGCTGAAATAAGCTGCAAGGAGCACAACAAGCTGAAATAAGCAGAAAGAAGTTAGAAGAAGCACAAAAGGGTTGTATTTAGCAGAAATAATCTGAAAGAAGTACAAAACAGCCGAGATTAGCTGAAAGTAGCTGAACAATGGTTTAAATTTGCACAAAAAAGCTGAAAGAAGCTGAACCAGAACAAAATGTGAAAGTTGCAGTAAAATGTTGTAAACACATCTAAAGATTTGAAGAACGTAAAATGAGCGCAGTTCATTTTCTACGAGGACAAAATGTCAGAAAAGGCTAAATATTCCAAAAAGCTAAAGCTGCACCAACACCAAAAGTCACAGCAGGATTGTCCTGAAACAGCCGAACGTTTTGATTCATGATTTGTTGAAACATCACCAAAAATGTGGAACGAGTAAAGACAAATGGATCCCAGAGTGAACGCTTCATAAACATTCACACAATAAACGGAGCATTCACTTCCTCTCAGACCACATTTGTCTTTGACGAACACAAAACATTGCATATTGTGGTCACTGCGTGGCGGTTCAGTAAAATATCTTTATTTAGGTTTTGTGTTTTGGTTTATTGTTGCTCATTTCTAATGATGATGTCATCTTAAAGCATTAAAACTAGACTTGAAGATGACGCAAACTGTTCAGAGAGCAGGAAGTCCAGTGTACACACTGCTCAGGTAGGTGAAGGTGCACAGAGAGGAAGGTGGGTAAACCATCCGACCTCCAACACACACCTCATTACTAAAACTATTTCCTGTGAGGAAGGAAGGGACGAGCAAGAGGGGCAGCGACGGCAAACAGTGTGTGTGTGTGTGTGTGTGTGTGTGTGTGTGTGTGTGTTGGAGCAAACTGTCGTGTTGTGCCAACTGCTCAAACGTCCGTCAGGGCTGTGCTTACCCAACGATCACCATCAATTATTTACCAAAGGAGAGGCGCGGCCTGAAAGGCCACCGTGCTAAATGTCACAACAGACAGAATATAAATGACAAATGTGCTCATTACAACGAGGCGCGGCGCCGATGGAATGTGGTGGTGGTGGTGGTGTTGGGGGGGGGGGGGATTAATGCAGCGGCTGCTCCAAAACTTCAGTCCTGACAGAGTTTATGTTGAAACTTTTCTCAGTGGCATGTTTTGGTTTTTACCGCCTGCTGTTGAAGTTTTTTTGCTCGTGTGTCTGATGGTTTTATTTTTTAAGGGAACAACCCAAACCCACCTGACCCTGTGTGAAAAGGTGTTTACTCCTAAACATAACATCTGCTGGTGCCACCCTGGGCGGCAACAACCGCAGGCGAGCGTTTGTGACCACGAGTCGTTCTCGTGGCCGTGGAGGACTTTAGCTGTTCTGACTCCAATTATCGCCCTGCTGCAGGACCAAAGTGAGCTTGAGGTCTGGACATTCTTCTTCAAGATTTTTTGTTCTTTTGTTCATGGTTCCATCAATCACAGCGAATCATGAAGGTCTCAAGTATCAAAGCCACCCCAGACCATCACACTACCACCGCCATGTTTGAATGTGGGTATGATCTTTTTCTGAAATGCAGGTGTAAGGAGAAGCATGCCTTTCGTCTCATCAGTACAAAAAATATAATCCCCAAACGAGATCATCAAGATGTTTTTTGGTGAACTGGGTCTTTGGGTTCTTTTTGTTCAGCAGTGGTTTGGACCGTGGAACCATCCCACGGAGGACATTATACCCTTTGTCTTTTTAACTGTTGACTCATGAACACTGACTCACTTTAGCTGTTATGGTTTCATTGGGTCCTCCTGGATTAGCTGTCAATGCTTCCCACTCCTGAGAAGGTTCTCCACTGTTACATGTCTTCATTTGAAGATGAGGCTCTTTTTGAGGGATTTCTTGATTCTACAGAGCTGACTGGGCTGGTCCAACTTGGATGGATGGGTGGATGGATGGATGAATAATGTATGGAAGGATAAACGATTGATGGACAGATGGATAAATGGTGGATGGCTGGATGGATGGATAAATGATGGATGGATAAATGATGGATGGATAAATGGATAAATTATGGATGGTGGATGGATGGATGTCTGGATGGATAAATGATGGATGTCTGGATGGATAAATGATGGATGTCTGGATGGATAAATGATGGATGCTACCATGGATGGATGCACCGTATCCATGGATGGATGCACCGTACTAGTGTGATGATGTAATTAATATGTGGACAACTTGTTACTGTCAGCCGGAGCTCTGGTTGGATGAAGTTAAATTAAAATGTTCTCGGCTCTGGTTCTAAACGGTCTGTTGATATTTTGCTCCCAACAGCAACAAGCAGCTTTGAAATCTTTAAATTTTGTGGAAACGTCTCTTCTTGTTTTTTCCCCTGAAGATTTTGACGTCCGGTGTGAAAGTAGCTTGTTTGTCCATAATTAGAAAAGTGTTTCCTCCTAAAAACAACCGGACCTGGAACATTGGCTCGTTTTACAAGTCCAGACGTACTGAGGTGACCTTTACGTAGATGACAGAGAACTTTACTTTGGGAACGTGTGTGTTTGCGTGTGTGCGCACACGCGTGCCTGTGAGAACACGCTCCTTTAATATTTGCTGTGGGGTTTTAAAGTCCTCCATTTTCTTTTTTAATTTAAGTTCAAGTTAGACCTCAGACGTTTTAACTTTTGATATTTTTGAGTCTGTTAGTAACTCCTTCATCTGTTTACCTCAGTATAAACTCATCACAGCTGATAGTGATGTGTTGAGTTCTGTTGAAGAGTTCTGAACAAAATATCTTACCTGCTGTAGACGAACTTTAAGGACAAAAGTATTTGTCCAAACCTGATCGTCATAAATAGTTCGTCTCCCATTTTCAACTCCAACATCTTCTATTCATTTTAGAAAAGTTTCCACCGGAGTTCAGAGGGTTTCTGTATGAATCTGCCCATTCCTTCTGGAGAACGTTTGTCAGGCACTATGGTCCAGTTCATCCTGAAGGTCTTTGAAGGGGTTGAGGTCAGGGTTCTGTTCGGGACAGTCAAGTTCTTCCTCTCCAAACTCATTAAATCTCGTCTTCATGGTCCTAACTGTGTGCACTCGGGCACGGTCATGTTGGAGTCAAATAAGAGACTTCTACAAAGTGTTGCCTCCAAGTTGGACGCATTCATCCAAAAAGAAATGTCTTGGTATGCTGAAGAAGATGCAAGACATCTGTTCTTGCTCACAAGGTTGTGAGACGTTCTTTTTCACGTGGACCTCCCTCTGCAGCACACGCAGCGACGGCACGGTTAACAGACTGATGTTTATTTTTAGTTGATGAAGTTGTGAACTGAGAAGTTCCAGTTTTCAAATTTGGGCCGAAGAGACCGTCAGTTTCCTGCAGACGGTGCATAAAAATGAGCAAACATGGGGACGCGTCTCTTCGCTGGCCGGCCTATCCTGAACAGCCATGGATCCTGTCCACACGGTCTCCTCCGTGCACAAATATTATGTTCTCTCCTTCCGCAAGTTCTTCGCCATTCCACCATCTTTATAAATTTAGCAGGGACGGTTGTAAAGATGGCTGAACCTCGGCCAGCAGCTCCTCAGCAGAGCAGTTCTGACCAATCGCCCTGCAAGAACAAAAGAAAGGTTCTTTCAAAGCCTCAAAATCAACTGTAACAATGAGAACGGAGTTCTCAGCGTCTTCATCGACGATAGGATGGTCCATCGCTGGAGATCAGGACCAAACCCAACTGGAACTCCTCAACTCAACCATGAACCAGTGTCCAAATGTCAAACAGTGTTTTGCCCTTTGAGCAGTCTTAGTTTGGAGAAATGGTTTAGTTCTGACCGAAACTAACAGCCAGTCCAAACGGGCCAGTATGAAAGTGGATTTCTGCTGTCTCAAGACACCCATAGCAGTTCATACGAAAGCTGTTTTTCTGTCACCAGTAGACTTCGGGCATGTTCAGAGACGTGTTTTAGCTCCGCAGACGGAAGAATCTGGATTTCAGTGACTCTGAGGTTTTACCAGAGCTCCTGTCTCCACAGCTGAACGGTTTCATTTCGATGCTTTCTTTTTACCTCCCACGAAGCGACAGTGAAGGAGTTTTCCTCGGGAACCAACCTGGAGTTTCATGAATGAATGTGTGTCTGCAGTGATTGTTGGTGTGCAGCAGCGACTCTGAACAACTAAAACTGATTCGGGGAAACAAAGGTTCATATCTGAGCGCTGCTGAATTGATACAAGATATTTTGAAGGTAAAGCGTGGAAGGTTCTGAAAGATCAGTCAGTTGTTCTTAGTTACTTTTCTTTGTTTCCACAGGACTACACAGATGCTCTGATTTCTAACTACTACGTAAGTATTTCCTGTAAGACTCTCCTTATAAAGATTAATACATATTTTGACAATATGGTTATTAATTATGGTGTAGACAAATTAAAAACTAATTAAAAACTTTTTAAATAGTATTGAAAACATTTCTCCCCTGACAGTAAGCCTAAATTTATCTGTTCAGACGATGTTTTATTAGATTATTCCATCGTCTTCATCAACTGAAGTTTCAGACGTTTGTCAGAAACTTCTAAAAAAAAAAAGATGAGGGTCAAGAAAACTTGGCAACAGAAGTTGTCCAGAATAAATAAAAAGTGTAGGATTTGGACCTGTTGCCTCTGGCAGGAGTGGTGGCGCAGAGGTTAGAGAAAGCAAATCTGTGATCAGAAGGTTGCCGGTTCAACTCCCTGGACCGACATCAAAATGTGGGTGGGAAAGGTGAAGCGCCCACACCCTCGTTTGCCCCACTCTGAGCCCTTGAGCAAGGCCCTTAACCCCCACCATCCTCTCCCCATGGGTGCCCTAGATGCAGCTCTCTGCTCCACACAGAGGGCTGTGGTAGCTCGGTGATCTGTGGTTGCGTCAGGAAGGACGTCCAGCATAAAATCAATTGCCAAGTCATCGTGTGAGTTACAGTGGGGCAAACAAGTATTTAGTCAGCCACTGATTGTGCAAGTTCTCCTACTTAGAAAGATGAGATTTGCGATAGATGAAGCTTTTTCCTTAGTTTACCAATGTCCCAGGAGAAATTTGATAGTCTGCCCGCATCCAAGACCAAATGGGGGAGTCAGATTCAGATAAGTCACAATTGTTGATTTTCTTCAGTCAGACTGTTTTTCTTGTCAGCCTCGAGTCCTGCTGGTACTTTCCAGATCCAAAATGGCCAGATTTATGGGCATTCCACTGATCCATGCTATGAGCCTTCTTCAAGGTCGACCCCAACATGCTGGCGGTCCCAGAAGCCGCAGGTGGCCTGTGATTCTCACAAATCACTTCCATCTTACAGTTTAGCTCGTAAATCAACTGATTTTGAGTTCTCATAGCACGAACCAAACCTTCACACAGACTCTGAAGTTTTGTCATGGCCGAAACTGCTGCCGGTGTCTTCTTCAAAAGTTGATAACACAGGGACACGCCAATGCCAAAAAGTAGAAGCCCTGCTATCATGAGTCCAATTACATAAACGTCTTCAGCGTCTTCCTGAGGCATAACTGAAAGACACATCAGCTGCCAAACCACACGGATCCCTGATGTACCCTGCAGCGTGAGTCTCAGCAGGACATGAGGGCTCGCCAGGACCCTGTCGTTTTGTTGAAAAGATTTTGTTGATTGCATTGAAGGTCCAGCTCACCAGATCCATAATATTATTTTTCGTTGGGAAGATGTGTACCAGGAGCTCCGAGACATAGACAGAGAGCAAAAGCAGGAGGAAGAGAACGGGGAGGGAGAGGAAAAGACATCCGTCTGAGCAAGAGCAGAAAAAAAATTCTTGTGTCAATGAGTCCATGTTCTACAGTGTACATGCACCCTTACTGATTGGCTGCTTTTTACTGTCTGATGTTAATATAAATAATTATTAGGATTGGTCGCTGTATGCACATATGTGGCTACACACAGTGGTTCCCAACCCTGGACCTTGAGGAACACCATCTTGCATGGTTTAGTTGCTTCTCTGCTCCAACACACCTGATTTGAATGAACAGGTGATTATCGGGCTTCTGCAGAACTTGAAGAAATTAAATCATTGAATCAGGTGCGTTGGAGCAGGAAACAACTGAAACATGCAGGATGGTGTTCCTCAGGGACCAGGATTGGGAACCACTGTACTTCCTGTCATCTGAGTCCAACTCTGCTCACCATCTAAGCTACTGAGACTGAAATATCTCCTGGAATTTCAGGATTTACTTACGGAAAACTCAAGGAAGTTTGTTTACATGAAATGTTGGGAACCCTGAATTAGTGAGCCTGAATGAATGTGTGAAAAAGTTTATTTTTTTTGGTTTGTTTCATTTTTGTTTAAAACTAATTATAGGAGGTGAATCATAAAAAAAACAACTAAAATTCTTTTTACACGTAGTCTTTTTGTAAAGAGTTGCAAGTGATTCTCTTCAGATTAATTCAGTGGAAATTGCCTATATGTGTGAATTAAACGTAAAACATGAAATTTCATTCTGTTTATTTATAAAGTGCTGATTCACAACAAGTGTCTCAGAGCTCAATAAAAACTATTCAGATACATTATAAAATGCTGATCAGTAAAGTTCTCTAACTCGCAGTGTTTTGAATGTCGTCTGTGCTTTTCAGCTGTGGCCTCCGGTCCAAATTGCCAACTTCTACTTCATTCCTCTGCACCACAGGTGAGGCATTTACGGCTCAATTTAAAGAGAATGATGTGCAAAATAAAGAAAATGTATTTATTTTTTAAGCTACGTTACGTCTGACTCATTCAGGCATGAAAGACTTTTAAATTTAAGGGATGAACCAGTGTTACAGGCAACTCGGCAAATACCCAACTTTAAAATAAATCTCTACCAGCAACTTTGATTCAATTTATTTAACGGCAACATCAAAGATAACACCTTGACAGACAGAAAATATTATTTTAGCACCGAGTTATTAGCTAACTTTTTCTACAGCAGCTCAACTAAAGTTGAGTCTCCGACCCTGTTTCAGGTCTTGAAAAGAGAATTTCAGATACTTTTTGTCCCTCACTTTTATTTTTAAACCCACTGCATGTTCAGCTGTCATGGACCGGACACAGAGTGGGATAAAAAGCAGCTGAAGTCCAAAGAAACTTTTAAAATTCCTTCAGAAAGAAAACGGTTTGTAATACGACTTTGGCTGCTTGGGAGCAGAGTGTAAAGAAAGAAGCAGCTTAAAACTTCTGCACATTTCTGCACAAAGCAGATCTTTGTTTGTGAGCTTCGTCTTCCTCTCAGTGTGAAACTCGTCACATCTCGCTCCCCCCTGCAGGCTGGCCGTGGTCCAGATCGTCGCCGTCGCCTGGAACTCCTACCTGACCTGGAAAGCCAATAAGATGTGAGGAAGACTCACGAGTCCAGCCTGCGTCGTTGTTGCCGAGGATGAAGATGATGATGATCCTCCACTCATTTGTACTGCAGACTGGCGGAGTGTGTCTGTTGTGCTCGACTTGAGTCTTCTGGTATTTCCAACGTGTAAAGCTGTGACTGAGTCACATTTAAAGGTCGGGGAAAGTGCTCGTACTCCGAATGACAAATTCTCACTTGAAAGTCAAAGTTGCGTTTGCAGAAACGTCTGAGCGTCGGTTATTTATGGAAACGGGATTTGGCCGAGGCTCCGGCACATTAACACCTACTGGTTGATGAGGGAATGTTTCCCCTCGTTGCTTCATTAAGCTCTTCTGCTGATGTGGTTTTGATTAGCACGTTCGTTTTACTGGACTCCGCTCCTCCTGACTCATGTTTGCACTTTGTGAAACTTCTTAACATCTTTTCATAACAATTAGGGAACAAATCTGAAACTTTTGGAAAAAAAAGTTTGATACTTTTTGTTGAAGCTTCAGTGACTAAAATGCCAAACAGAGCATGGACTATAAAGAAAAAGTATTTTGTATTCTTGATGCTAAATTAGGCAGTGGTTCCCAGCCCTGGTCCCTGAGGAACACCATCCTGCATGTTTTAGTTGTTCCTCTTCTCCAACACACCTGATCTGAATGAAAGGGTGATAACTTTAGGAAGTAATTAAACCACTGAATCAGGTGTGTTGAAGCAGAGAAACCACTAAAGCATGCAGGATGGTGTTCCTCAAGGACCAGGGTTGGGAACCATTGAAATAAGGCATAAAATCAATCTGGAAATATCTTGTCTCATTCTGCCACAAATGGTGGGCAATAATGTATTTGTGTACCTGATTTTTATTGCCTTTTCTGCCATAATCATCTATTTTGTCATGTTCATCTTTAATTAAAGTGATGGAACATGGTTTTTGGGTTAGATTTAGTTCTAAGGCTGGTGTGTCCAACTTTAGTCCACAAGAGTCACCATCCAGCATGTTTGTTTCTCCAGCACTCCAGATTCAATGGTTGAATTACCTCTTTATGTCCTGCAGAAACATGTTAATCACTTATTGATTCAAATCAGGTGTAGGAGCAGAGGAACATTTAAAACGTGCAGGATACTGGCCCTTGAGGACCAGGATTTTCCACCTGTAGTCTAAACAGTCATGTATGGTGAAGGTCTCATTAGTACTGACCGCAGCTGTGCTTTTTTTTTTCTTTGCAGAAAGTAAAGATTTCAGACAAACAATGAATTTCACTGAGGACAACAAAGATAACGTTACTAACTCTGATATATTTTACCTCTACGTTAGATTTATTGTTCTGGATAAAGTTTTACAACTAAGGCAATAACCTATGCTAGGTTATCTAAACGTTAGCTTGCTAACTTGAGAGGTACGTAGCTAATGAGAAGTGGGTTGGAGGGTTGAAGAGAATCTATTATTGTTGATTTATTTAGTTAACATATAAGTTAAAATAAACTTACCATGCCCTGTTCAGGAAAACACGCTACACAGTATTGCTCGCTGCCTCGGCTGTGCTGAAAGTGAAAACTTAAAGCAGCAATGACTTGAAAGTAGTCTGCATGCGCCCTCTGCTGGAAACGTTGTACAATTACACATTTTGCTAGTCAGGACACGGCATGTTCCCAGTGTTCATATCGGCGCATAATGGGACAATTATCACCAATACCGATATGTCCCTAAACATCTGTATCAGCCTAAAATATCGTCTCTACGATACATCAGTCAGGCTCTAACCCCTAATGCACACTGAACGTTAACTGAACACGGGAGATCCTTTTCATAAACTCCACATTACTTTAAGAAATGTTAGTTTCTGTTGTTCAATTTCTAAAGAAAAGAAATGGGTTTATTTTTTGGCCCTGTTGGTTGTTGGCCTCTTGTTTTCGATTCATTTTGACACAAACATGTGGACTCCGTTTTCTGTTTTTATTCCAGACCAGACTGATGAGTAAAAACTGTTGTAGTTTGCTGTTAAAGCTGCTGCTGAACGTCCACCGTTTATCCTCCGTGGTCCAAAAAGCTGCTCATTCTTTCCCTCTGAATCAGTTTTCTCAACACTTTGAAAACATAAAGAGCATCTCGGCTGTTTAAAACTAAACATTTCAGGAGTCAGAGGAATGTTTGACCTCGCCAACCTTCACAGGAAACTGTGCTGTGTGTTTTTGGAGGCTGCTGAGCCGGTGCTGGCTTCAGCTCAACAAACCCTGCGAGCAGAAAGCATCTGACGAATTTGTTGAAAGTCTTCCAAATAGCCTCTTTTACCCCCTCCTAGCTAGTAGCATCCCATTCTGCATTTTAACAGAAGGTAAAGTTTGAAACATTTGAACGCATCTCCTGTTGGATCACTACGAGCCAAAGAGGCTCGTTAAAACTCAGAACCATTTTTTTTTTATGTTAAACTCAATTAGCCATGAAGATTACTGAGGGTGGAAATGTTTTTCAGGTGACTTGTGTACTATTTGTGTGTAATTTAATGTACTTTTACAGTACAATAACTTGGTCTTTTTGTAAACATGTTTGTTTTATCTGAATGTGGGTTAATTTTTTATTGTCTAATTCAGTGATGCCCAAACATTTCATCTTCTCTGAAACAATAGTTGAGTCTTATGACCACAACAAATATCAGCTTAACTTATAAAAAACACGAGGACAATGTCCCAAACTGACTCACAGTTTATGACTAATGTATTTTTGCTTTTTATATTTAAAAATGTCGACGAGTCATTTTTATGTTTAATCTGGTTTGTGGAGATCACCTGAGGACCCTCACTTGATGTTTCATGGCCCACAGTGGAGTCCGGACTCGTTCAGACCTCTGGATGTCAGAACCAGCACCATGGACAGCTCCACTGGTTCTTTTTGAGCAAGTCTTGTTTAGTTTAAATGAATAAACTCAGGTCCTCTAAAACCCCCTTCTTTGATTTTTTTTTTTTCAACTTCTAAAAGTCAAATCTCATTTTAATGCAGTAAAAGTTCAAAGTAAACAGAGATTTGGACAATATTCTCTATTTGTTGTTTTTTAACTTCAGTTTGCAGGAATCAGGTTTATAATAAAACTGTCATTTGGCACCAAACCCACAAACTGAGCCCATAAAGAATCTCCTGTCGTCACTGGTTCTGGTCCCATTTATGATCCAAAGAGGACGGAAACTAATAAAAGTAGCTCCTAATGTTCTGGGTCCACGGCGGAGCCTCCAGCTGCGCAGGAGACGCAGCGCTGCGTCTCCTCACTTGTCCAGGTTCCGAAGTGGTTTTCTGTCTTGGCGCTGACGTCAGAAGGAGCCTGCTGGACTATAAAACCGTCCGGACCTCCGCAGGAGAGTCTCACAGGACCTCAGACCCAGAACTGAAACCGTCAGAGTTCTGCTGCAGCATCTACTGAACAAAGTGAGTAGCTGCAGGTGGAGCAGACATGACGTTTTTAGTTGTTTTCAATAAACTAACGCAGTTTTGAGCTCTTATTTTATTTATGTCATCTAATATTGGCTATTTTTGTAATAAAAAAAGAGAAAAAAGTTGTTTGATTATTGTAGGATAAGAACTTTTTTTTTGATCTCGCATTATTATTGGTTGACTTTAACTCCAACCAAACGTCCAGGACTGACGACTGTCTCCTTTAGTTTTCAGGACATGAAGCCTGTCCCCCTCCTCCTGCTCCTGTCCTCCGTCCTCCTGTCCTCGCACCTCCGCCCCACCGCCGGCAGACCGCGCTTCTTCCCGGACGCCAGCGGCCGCCTCCACGCGCAGCGCCTGGACGATGCGCTCCTGGAGGCGGCTGCTGCGGACGGCGCCGCCGCGTCGGACCTCCTGGGAGACCACGTCCTGAGGTTCCTCCAGAGGAGAGACCCGGACCGCCTCCACCTGGAGGAGAGCGTGGAGGAGGCGCTGAGGACCGCCGAGCAGCTGAAGCGCAGCGAGGAACCGCCGCTCTCCATCGACCTGACTTTCCACCTGCTGAGGAATATGATCCAGATGGCCAAGATGGAGAGCCAGCGCGAGCAGGCTCAGCTCAACCGTAAGGTGCTCGACGAGGTGGGGAAGTAAGTCCCTGCTTTCAGGGGGATTCAACCCCTCTGGGTTTCAGTTCGTGCGCCTGCCTTTTACGCACACATGGTGCCATTTTACGCATCACTTTAGCCGCAAGTGTCGTGTTTTTGTGTTCTAAAGAAGACATTATAGGGAAGTGAGGAGTGAAAAAAATACTTATGGACACCTTCATTTTCACCCGCTGGCCTCCCCCTTCAAACCGACCCCCCATCCTTGGACTTGTGGACTCGCAGGGAAGCGTTCCAACTTCCCGTTTTCACTTTATTGCGTTTCACTCTGTTCTCATCACGTGTGCCTGAAGCGAGTTTACAGGTTGATGTGAGCGGGTTGTCAGTGGATTCATCAGGCTGCAGAAAACTATCCCTGAATAAGATAAAAACGGGTCAGGGTTAAAGTCTGCTACACAAAGAAGAAAACTGATGTTGAAATAAATTAAAGCAGAATTCAACACAAACGTTTGAAGAAATCTAAAATATAATTTCAAGCTAATTGATAAACACTTCTGCAGCTAAAATCAATATAAATATGTAGAAACTCATCAAATAAGTTGAACTTAAAAGATTAGATGTGAGGACAAACAATGATTTAGTCAGTTTGCTGAAAAAAGTGTTAATTTGTTTAAAGGTGTAGAACTTGAAAGTGGTCAAAGCAGACTTTATTCAAATTGTTTTTTTTTTTTTGTTTTTTTTTACATTTCAGCCTGAAAGTTGAGCTTCAGTTAATAATTTGTCTCATTCCTGGCAGCAAACTAATAATTCTGATTATGATTTCACAGTTCAGATGAAGCTGAACGTTTTAAATTTATAATCAAAATAAAGTCAAACGCCTCCACAGTTGGAATCCAAGCCAAGTGGGATTATTTCAGATGAACGGTGCTAAACGTGACGCATGGTTCCAGTTTCTAATCTGAAATCCAGTTTCTGGTGCTGCTGGAGCTTGTGTAAGCTGCTGGTCTGAGTTGGCGTGATGTTTAAACGGCGTGTTGTGGTTCTGGGCCTGCGGTCTCCGTCGGGACGTTCTTCCACATTTTGTCTCTAAGTTTAGTTTTTGATTTGAGCAGGAGCACCTTCACCTGTACTGTATGAACTGTAGCATGCTGGCCTACAAAAAAAAACTACAAAAAAAAGTCTGATTCACGTCCGTCACATTTTTATTTTATTTTAGCAAAATGTAAAAAAAAGCTTTTTTGCCATTTATATTTTGTAATAAAAAAGTTTAAAGTGGAGAAAATGTTTGGACTTTTATTGTGACTGAGGTTTCGTCTCATTTCCGCTCAAACGTCGTTATAGTTTTGGATCTGTAATCAGAGCTGTTTGACCCACTGGATCTTCATCATCAACAGGTAAGATATTTTCTCTTGGTGTAGAAATATATTGATTTATTCATTATCTTTGCCCGCTTCTTCCTTTTTCGGGTCACCGGGGTCACCGGTGCCCATGTCCAGCTGTCACTGTGTGAGAGGTGGGACACCCTGGACAGGTCTCCAGTCCATTACAAGGACACATGCATGTGCTGCATCCAATTAAAATATCATGAAAAAGTTTGTTTCAGTAATTCCATTCAAAAAGTGGAACTTGTATATTATATTCATTCATTACACACAGACTGATATATTTCAAATCCAACATTTTTCAGTCAGGTCATCTGGACAGTTTCTTTTTTTCCTTTTTTTTTTTTTTTTTTGTGCTGAAACGTTTCGCCTTCGATCCAGAAGGCTTCATCAGTCAAGGAAACGCACAACACAAAACTGATTCTTCCCCCAACAGCTTACTCCAAAGTGGATCAAACCAGTTCTGCTTGTGATAAGATGGATTATTGAGCATGGACTTTGTTATATTTCAAATGTTTATTTCTTTTAATGTTGATGATTATAACTGACAACTAATGAAAACCCCAAATTCAGTATCTCAGAAAATTAGAATATTGTGAAAAGGTTAAATTTTGAAAAGACCTGGTGCCACACTGTAATCAACTAATTAACTTAAAACACCTGCAAAGGCCTTTAAATGGTCTCAGTCTAGTTCTGTAGCTACACAATCATGGGGAAGACTGCTGACAGGACAGTTGTCCAAGAGATGACCATTGACTCCTTGCACAAGGAGGTCAAGACAAAAGGTCATTGCTAAAGAGGCTGGCTGTTCATAGAGCTCTGTGTCCAAGCACAGTAATAGAGAGGGGAAGGAAACAATGTCGTAAGAAAAGTGTTCAAGCAATAGGGATCACTGCACCCTGGAGAGGATGGTGAAAGAAAACCCATTCCAAAATGTGGGGGAGATTCACAAAGAGTGGACTGCAGCTGGAGTCAGTGCTGCAAGAACCACCACGCACAGACGTATGCAAGACATGGGTTTCAGCTGTCACATTCCTTGTGTCGAGCCACTCTTGAACAAGAGACGGCATCAGAAGCATCTCGCCTGGGACTGCTGCTGAGTGGTCCAAAGTTATGTTCTCTGGTTAAAGTAAATTGTGTGTTTCCTTTGGAAATCCAGGTCCCAGAGTCTGGAGGAAGAGAGGAGAGACACAGAATCCATGTTGCTTGAGGTCCAGTGTCAAGTTTCCACAGTTGGTGATGGTTTGGGGTGCCATGTCATCTGTTGGTGTTGGTCCACTGTGTTTTCTGAGGTCCAAGGTCAATGCAGCATCTACCAGGAAGTTTTAGAGACTTCCTGCTTCCTGCTGCTGACCAACTTTATGGAGATGCAGATTTCATTTTCCAACAGGACTTGGCACCTGCACACAGTGCCAAAACTACCAGTACCTGGTTTAAGGACCATGGTATCCCTGTTCTTAACTGGTCAGCAAACTCGCCTGACCTTAACCCCATAGAAAAGCTATGAAGTATTGTGAAGAGGAAGATGTGATACACCAGAGCCAACAATTCAGAAGAGCTGAAGGCCACGATCAGAACACCTGAGCAGTTCCACAGACTGATCCACTCCATGACACGACGCATTGCTGCAGTAATCCAGGCAAAAGGAGCAACAACTAAATATTAATGCTGTACATGCTCATACTTTTCATGTTCATACTTTAAAGTTGGACAACATTTCTAAAAATCTTTTTTGTTGTTGTTGGTCTTAAGTAATATTCTGGTTTTCTGAGATACTGAATGTAAAGTTTTTATTAGTTGTCAGTTATAATCATCAACATTAAAAGAAATAAACATTTGAAATATATTAGTCTGGGTGTAATGAATGAATATAATATACAAGTTTCAATTTTTGAATGGAGTTACTGAAATAAATAAACTTTTTCATGATGTTCTAATTTTATGAGCAGCACTTGTAAAGTTCAACACATTGACTCTAACCTTAAAATGTTACAAAGTCGGTAAATTAAAACAAACAAAAGACGCAAAACTAAACTCTTAACAGCAGCTGAGCTGGAGAAAATGGAAAATTTAATCACTTTGTCTCTGACGAGAGAACAGTTGGAGTTATGGACACGTTTTAGAAATCAATAAGAGACAAACACAGAGGACAAAATGTCCCCCCGAGTCTGTCCAAACTGAGCCTGTGGTTCCTGTCCCTCTTTGTGCCTGACAAAAGACAAACGAGTGAATACCAGAAAGATTAGTTTATTTGTTGTTGTTGCATCTTAAACTACTTTTTCTTTTGTTGCAGCGACGGCTGAAGATTTTCTGTCGGCTCTCGTTCTTTTTCTTTCAGGTTTTTTTAAAGACTTGATCAGGACTAACATTTATAAACATTTTCCTTCCAGCCCTCACATTTGATTTAAAGAAGTTCTTGAAGGTCTGAAGTTCTGCGTCTGATGGTGGAAAGAGCTCAATAAAGAGTCAACCCGGACCATCAGAACCAGCTGATGAGAAATAAACAGATCAATAATGAATTTTTGAGCCCAAACACGTGAACGTCTACTTATTTTAGGAAATCGATATATCTGCAGCTGCATTATGAACGGGACCATTAATCTGGCTGTGACGGTACGTTCTGACCCAACAGGAGGTTCTGATGGATGCTGGTGTCAAACAGAAGTGAATCAGCAACTTCCTCCTGAAACTGACCTCGTTCAGTCTGCTCACACAAAAATCAACTTTTATCTTTGAACTGCAGCTCACCTGCTCCCTATTCTCACTACAGATGTTGTCCATGTGGACCCCTGCCTGACCTCAGCTGTCCATTCTGCAAGAAGCAGATCCCTGATGGAGTCCCACCTTCAGCCCACCTGTCCCTCTGAAGTCTGTCCTCGTGGTTTTAATTATTTACTGGCAGCACGGTGGCGCAGTTAGAGCTGCTGCCTCTCAGCGAGCAGATCGCCGGTTCAAATCCCGATCTTTCTGGATGGAGTTCGCATGTTCTCTCCGTGCTGCATGGGTTTTCTCCGGGTACTCTGGTTTCCTCCCACAGAGCAAAAACATGCATGTTAGACTGATTGGTAACTCTAAATTGACGGATCATTTCTTTACTGTTACAACCAAAAGGAGGTGAAGCTGCTTCACAGTCCAACATTTAGCAGTAAGAACGAGTTCTGTCGTGCTCACAGAAAGCTCCTAAATCAGTTTAAAAAGCTGGAACAAGACCATTAAACATCAAAAGTTTAAAAATGTATTTTGAAACAGTCTGGAAGCCAATGAGGAGAGAAGACGAGTGTTTCGGACCAGCTGAAGGACAGAGAGGTTCCATCGGAAGCACAATGGTGGATGTTCTCTGTTCATCCTCTTCTCGACTGCCTGGATGACATCAGGGACTGGAGGGCTTTAAATGTCTTAAACTTTAATGAGTAGAAGACTGAAGTCATGTTTCCTCCTAATGGCACAATCAAGAACCACTGCATCGACCTCTCCAGCCCCGTTAGAGAAACAAGTCGTCACTAATCTGGGAGTGAAAATGGATCCTTCCATGAAACTGAACTCGTGATTATTAAATCCTGTTTTCAGTTGAGGCGACCCATAATGTCTACAAGTAACCGTGAGACAGTTCTACAGGTGCTGGTCATAAAATTAGAATATCATGAAAAAGTTTGTTTCAATAATTCCATTCAAAAAGAAACTATTTTATTCATTCATTACACACAGACTGATTTATTTCAAATGTTTATTTCTTTTAATGTTGATGATTATAACTGACAACTAATGAAAACCCCAAATTCAGTATCTCAAAATTAGAATATTGTGAAAAGGTTCAATATTGAAGACACCTGGTGCCACAGTCTAATCAGATAATTAACTCAAAACACCTGCACAGGCCTTTAAATGGTCTCAGTCTAGTTCTGTAGCTGCACAATCATGGGGAAGACTGCTCACTTTATGCATCCGTGTCAAACAAGTCTTTGACCTTTAACCTACTAACTGAGCTCATTTCTCCAAGCATTGCACAGTCTGACCTTAGGGTGAATATGCTCGGATGTCCACTCCTGAGAAAATCAGCAGCTCAAGTATTTGTTCCCTCTGAAGCGGTTTGTTGTTTTTTACACAAATTTTTACGGTAGTTACATTTTTATTTGATGTCGTGTCTTACTCTAAAACCTGGCATCAGATAATTTGTAACTTTTCTTTTGTCTCAGATGAACTTCTGACTCTTAACGTCCACGTTTCTGACAATTCTTTGACCTTGTAGGAGTGAAAATAACAGGCCGAGGACACACTGGTGTCTTCTGTCCCCCTGCTGCTTTGAGACATGATGCGTCTCCGCTGTCCCCCCCACCCCCCGCGTTACGTTTTGGGTTCGTTCGAGTTCATTTTTTCTTCAGAGTTAAGTTTTTGCTTTTTTTATCATGTAACTTTTTTCATGCTGTATTTTTAAATTGCTTTTTTTTTTTTTTTTTTGCTATTTTTTAATTTTTTTTCAAGTTAAAATATTTTTTTTTCTTTTTTATTTTTTTTTTTTTTTTTTTTTTTTTGGGGGGGGGAGGTCATTACTTTTTAAATTTTTATTTATTATTTTTTTAATTTAGGTTTTTGCTGTTTTTTCTCTTTTTACATTCATACATTTAATTTTTTACATGCTTTATTTTTACATATTTTCTAGTTTTTTTTTATTTTTAGAGTTACAATTTAGTTTATTTCACATTAAATATTGGGTTTTTTGCATTACATTAAAATAACTTTTTGTTTTCTAGTTAAATTCAATGCAGATCAGTTTATTTATATAGCGCCAAGTCACATTTTTGCTTTTTTTTTTCTAATTAAGTTTTTATTTGTTTTATAGTTACATTTTTATTTTTTGGTACAATTTTTAGTTTATTTTGACATTAAGTTTTAGTGGCATTTTGCATTACATTTTTTTTTATTTTCTGAGTTAAGTTTTTGCTTTATTTCATGTTACATTTTGGGTATTTTTGCATTATGTTATTTTTTTTCTGAAGCCATTTGATTCTATTCAAACATGAAAACAACAACAACTTTAGTCTCCTTCACGCTCTCGGCCTCCTATCAATCAGAACTGGGCCGTGTTTTGTCATAACTGGAGACTTTATTGTTTTTATACAAACTTTGTACTGTTGTTTTTTACACATGTAGGTTTGTTAGTACCTGGAGCTAAAACAAGAGGAGCAAACTGTAGGTTTTAGTTTCTAAACTACAGCCGAAACAAAAAAACTAATATTTTCTTAACCTTCTAGTGTGAATTTTACAGTAAGACAGGAAGCTATAGGAGTATTAAAAATAAAACGTACATGTCTAAATGTAGAGTTTAGCCTCCTCGCAGGCTCCTCCTCCTGATCGTCTTTTAAACGTCATGTTTAGTAGAAAAAACACGCAGGATTAAAGTAATCCTTTCGTCCTGGTCCCGTTTGGTTAATGGTGATAAAATGTTGGAGACCAGAGTTCGACTTCCAAAGTCTCACAACCAGACGCAAACAGACCGCAGCCTCCATGAAACTAAAAGGTGTTCGTCTCCAGCACGAATCATCAGGGCGTCTTTTTCAAATCCAAAACTAATTCAACGTGTCGGGTCTCGATGTTCGGAGCCGAGGTCCAACTCCTCGTCCTCCTCCAGGTCTTCTTCATCTCCCAAACCTAAAAGACCCAAAACAGAAAGCACAGGAAGAGACAAATGACCTCGGTCAGGATGAAGGAATGCAGAGCCGTTTTAAAACGGTACAATATGTCTGACTACAAGCTAAAAGCTACCGGGCTAAAGCTGAGGGCCACAGATCGGGTTGGTCTGACCCCGCGGTCGAGATGAGCCGTGTCGTTCATGTGGCGTCAAGCTCAAAGTAGAAAAAGCCTTGCTAAAAGCTATGAGTGCAAAAGGCTAAAAAATTATCAAAATATCAAATCATATCTGTATCAAAATGGTGGCTAAGATCTAAAAATAGCAAAAGGCTAAGTAAAAGCTAAAAGTAGCAAAAACATGGCCAAAGGTTAAGAATATCAAATGGCTAAGTATTAAAATGGTGGCTAAAAGGCTAAGCTAAGAGTAGCAAAAGGCTAACTAAAAGATAAAAGTAGCAGAAGTATGGCTAAAGGTTAGGAATATTAATTGGCTAGCTAAAAATTATTTAAATGGTGGCTTAAAGCTAAGAGTAGCAAAAGACTAGCTAAAACTAAAAGTAGCAGAAACATTTCTAAAGGTTAGGAATATCAAATGGCTAGCTAAAAGTATTTAAATGGTGGCTAAAAGCCAAGAGTAGCAAAAGACTAGCTAAAACTAAAAGTAGCAGAAACATTTCTAAAGGTTAGGAATATCAAATGGCTAGCTAAAAATTATTTAAATGGTGGCTAAAAGCTAAGAGTAGCAAAAGACTAGCTAAAACTAAAAGTAGCAGAAACATTTCTAAAGGTTAGGAATATCAAATGGCTAGCTAAAAGTATTTAAATGGTGGCTAAAAGCTAAGAGTAGCAAAAGTCCAACTAAAAGATAAATAAAAGTAAAATGTTTTGAAATTGCAAAGCAACATTTGGAGCACCATGTCCTGAATTTGCTGAATGTTTTTTTTTTTTTATATTAACGCCTAAAACGTTACAAAGTCTGCAGTATGCAGACGGTAAAAATCAACAGAAGAACAATGACGTGAACGTTGACTCGGGTGTTCCTTGTGAGGTCTAAATGTGGATAAATCTGTGGAACTGAAACCCCTCAGGGTTCTCCAGGATGATCTGGATCTGGGATCCTGTCCTCGGCCCCTCAGACAAGCAGCCGAAGGACGGGGCGAGGCCGTGCTTGTGTAACTTTACATACAGAAGCAGAAGTCGATGTTCCTCAGCACGTCGACGAAGTGGTCCGTATCCATGACGATGTGCTTCGTGCTCTCGTACCCGAGCTCCGGTCGCTCGGTGCCGGAGGTCTTCATCATCATGGCCATCCTGTTAAAACACAGATCCGTTTATTATCATTATTATTTATCAGCATTTAACGAGACTGATCAGAGTTTGTTATAAAGAGACTGAACTGTGACGTTTCAGGATTTTAAAACGGTTAATGTTTTCTAAACAACTCGTTCAGAACCCAAAACTGAACATCCAGACTCCTCGGGTCCATTTCCTCTCGTCCACGGTCCACATTGTACCGATAAATAATCAATCAGTAAAAGGTCAATATTGACTCGATCTATCAGCAAACAAACGGGCTCGGCTCGTCGTGAGGCGGGCGGTGATTGGAGAACAGACGTGTTTGTTTTTGCGGATCATCTGTTCAATAATTCATCAGCGGTGACACACGACCCGACAGACGCCATGACGGGTCTTTCTGTGAGAAGCTGCACGAACAACAACAAACGTTCTCACCGTTGACTCGTCTCGTTTTAAACGGTTCTAGACGAGGTTCTGACAGCAGCATGTCCCTGTGTTCTAATTGTTGCCAACATTATTAATATCTTTATTACTTTACTCAGTTTAAACCTGGAACGGTCCCAACATTCAACCTTCAACCACATGACTGCTTAAAACACGACTGGCGTTAGAAGTGGACGTTAGGGGGAGTGGTGGCGCAGAGGTTAGAGAAGGTGGGCTTGTGATGGGAAGATCGCCGGTTCAAGCCCTGGTACCGACAACATCAAAAATGTGGGTGTGGTAGGTGAAGCAACCACACCTGCCCCCACCCTCATTCGCCCCACCCTGGGCCCCTGAGCAAGGCCCTTAACCCCCATCTGCTCCTAAACAGGTCTCTTTTGAAAATGGGTTCTCATGGCTCAATGAGACTACCTGGATAAATAAAGGGTAAATTCATTTTTTTTAAATAATAATAACAGCAGTTGTAATAAATAACAACAGTTGTAATAAATAACTGTTATTTATTATAACTGTTGTTATTGATGATAACAGTTGTAATAAATAACAGTTATAATCAATAACAACAGTTATAATAAA